TATGTATGTAACTGTGAACAAGCTAAATTTTACGCTTATCAACGTACGTATTTGAGCTTAGTTTCAAATTCAACAATATTTTGATCAGTCCATCGTATCCAGGTTCTTGTTAGACAACAGTAGCACCTGCTACTTCAGGAAAATCAAATGTTTTATTCAATGTAATCTCCGACCGATAGAAGATTAGAGACTGACAAAATATCTGACAGCTCTTTGTAAACAGGGAACGTTCATTTATTATTTAACTAGATTTATTTTTAATTCGCGAAGCTTATAAAGTTGTTTTGCTAATGTAACGAGGGTCGTTTGGACCGTGCCGGGCGTTCTATATATCATTTTTGTGGCGTTTTTGTTTTTGTGAGTTTGGAACAACGCCATTAGTTATCTCTCGCTCGAGGCGGCTTTTTTAAAAGTCGATATTCTAATAGCTACCTATATACGTTTATAAAGGTCACTGTGTCATTCCTAAGGCAAAAATTTACTAATTACTTGATATTTTAAAAGTCATTACGTGAGACTAGATATGAAATAAATTGCTGTCATTAAAGTGTCCTGTTAATTAATTTTACTCAATTTCCTTTTATATTCTTTGTGTCTCTAAAAGTTTTCCCAAAAGCAAACGATGGACAAAAGGAGATAGCTGTGAGGCACGGCGCGAGGAACAATAGGCTTCGTGAATAAAAGAGCTACGGGATAAAATTAAAATATTGTAAAGGTTATATTGGTATGTACTTTTTGTCGCCCACTGCTATTTACTAACAGGATAATAATATATTGAACAACCAGACCGACAAAGCCTTTCAAATCAGGTTTAGACTATGACGTACGACGATCTTTGTCAGCCTAATAAAAAGATTCATTACAATCCTTGACAATCTAACTACATCGACACTATTATAATTTGTGTTACTAATTTCATGAGAGAAAATAAATTACAACGTTGCGACTGGAAGTCAACATGTAATGACGTCAATAACAGCAAACGAATTCAGGTTTGCAGAATTAAAAAGCGCTGAGAACGCAAACTTGGCGGATTTAGAGATTCGGGCGTAGTGGCGTAGCGGCGTAGAGGGGGCGAGGGCGGCGTAGTGGGACGTAGCACGGGCGTCGTAGCTGCATCGATCCGCGGGCCGTGACCTTGACCCGACCGCGTTCCCGGATGTACCAGCACTCGCCTAGTTGCGCCATTGTCGCTTTATTCAGCTCCTACTGGCTTTTATTAGCTCCAGTTTTATTTCCCTTACCTCATATTAGCTTCGAGAAAATGTAGGTGCGTCTAGACAAGTTTGTTTTTCTTGTAAACATAATGGATTACAATTCAGTCTCAAGGTTTTATTTTTTTTTTGTTCATCTTTGCTTATGTTTGATTCACGGTGTGAATATTTTATATTTGCCTGTTCTTAAATCTTTCCCCACTTTTTATAGCACTTCCCATTTTTCCTTTTCATATTGTTTCGCTTTTGTTAACGCTTCATGAATATCATATTTTGTGTCGATGTAGAATATTTTTTAACCGTGCTTACCCTGGTTTTTGACATAGGTACTATTGAAGGTAGAATATGATTATGTTTATTAAGTAAGTATGTGATGAGTGATGCCACGGCCTTATAAAAAAACCGACGTGAAACAACGCTTGTGTTTTGTTTTGTCGTGTGAGTTACCTGAAGCTCAGTTACCCCCCGTTTAGATCTCCCGAATCCTCAAATATTGTCAAATTTATATAACAAAATGCCGATAACGCACTTGTTACGCGTCTGGTGTTTCGGGTGTCTGTGGGCAGCGCCGATAGCTTACCATGAGGTGATCCGTCAGCTCGTTTACTGACCTATTCCATAAAAAAATCTGTTTATTCAGAATAGCGATCCATTTGATGAATTATTTATTAGCCAAATGTAAATCTTAGATTATGAATGAGTAGCTACTTAAGTATTTCTTTAGAAGACTTCATTTTTTTCTTAGAAAACTTCTTATGAACATTGTTCTTGAATAAGTTTAGATAACGGAAAGTAATCATTTCTTGTAACAGTCTTGCCAACATTTCTTTTTATTAAAAAGGTCCATGACGTCACAACTGACCTAATAGTCTCACAAAAAGACGTCATAGAAAGTACATAGAACAAAAGCTAACAGCAATTACAAGCCGCACGGCCCAGTGGGCGTTGCCACAATGTGTTCTAAACAAAATTATGCAGATGCATGCAATCTGGTCGCCAGGACGGTGGCCGGTGCATAACAATGTATGCTAATCAAAAGATAGCGCGCATGATTTAAGTGCACAACTGTGTTTTCGCTTTACTCAAGGCCTTGAATTTTAGTATTTTGGCGAGCTGGCTGAGTTTTGGTGCAGTGTGCCATTGGGTTTACGTGCTATCGGTTGCCAATGTTTAATTTTATAGGTATTGTAATCATTAATCAATTGTTTTACGACTCAAGTTGGATTAAGGGACCTAGTAAAACATAAGGCTTAGTTATACTTAAGTTTAATTCTTTTATTTGTAAAAGCTTTCTATTTGGTTGGTATTTTTAAGGGATGAGTATAATATGTTTAATAATAGGCTAACTGCTATTATAAACGAACTAATAACATTACTTTCTGTGTATAAAACCTGTGTGAGCTGTTTTGAAACCAAAACGCTGTTACGCTATTTTTAGCAATATCAAATCTAAAGCTACCTTAACAAATACTGACACAATAATATTTTAATATTTGAATCTAAATTGAGAGGATTTGAAGGAATAAATTTAAATTAATTATTGATTGAGAAACGGTATAAATTAATTCGACAAAATAATGAACGATTATTTCAACTCCTCTACTATTTGTTCGTTTTGTTTGTGTTTTTGAAGCTCACTTAAAATACGTTCTCTTTGTAAAACACGAAGTAAATTGTGCGAACAAATCCTTGATTAAAAGGAATTATGTTTAATTGCAGTCGACAGGAAACTGGAGCGTTGTAGTTTAATAAAATATATTATTCTGTATTTATGTTAAATGTATTCTTAATGGTATGTATCTTGTATTCTGTATTCGCTTAAATTGTACGGACGGGTTAACAATGTGAATAGAAGCTGAAAGGGTCATTATTTCCTTTCAGATGTTATTTTATCTTTCAGTAAAGGCGTGGAGTCTTTAAATTGTGCTTTATATATGGCTTATAGGTTTTCCCTATGTATGTTAAAAGGAACTCCAAACATAACTGTTGAACAGTGGCTATTAGTTTGTTTAAATATGCAGTTCTCACTACCTCTTAGGGTATTTTATATTAAAAGGGTAAAGTTTTATTAGAATACTCGATTTCTTACTACTACTTACCTCCAATCTATGAATCTAGTCGCGGTGAACCTAACGGGTTACCGGGGCTCCGGCTCGACGTGCAGGAGAAGGAACGGGGTGGTTTTTAGTCAGTAAGATGTCTGACACCCTTTCGCCTCACCCAGGCGGAAGCAGAAATTCGATGATTTTCCCCCTTAAAAAAATCTCTGAATCTAATCCAGAATTCTTCTTTAACAGGCTTTTAACCACTCAAGGACTGGTAAAATCAGGTAAAATCGAATTACACAATAGTATTACCTGGCCCAAAATTTAATCTCGGACCCGAAGAACCGAACATTCTGCCTGATTCCCTCTAAAAATATCGAAA